GGGATGGCACTAGGTGGGCGCCTAGACCGCCTAGGTGCCTTCCTTGATCGCCTAGGCGCCTGCTTAGACCCTACCACTTGAGCAACACCTAGGCTGCAAGGCAGCCGAATTTTTGTTCATTGAAAGCAGGTTACACTATAATTCAGACTATTGGTAATGTTACCAACTAACATTAAGTTTGTAGCAAAGTTGGGAACATGAAGAACTGATAACACTGACATTTGAGGAGAAACATCGACAATTCCGTTTCCAGTTATTGAGGAAAAAGAGCCATTAGCAATTCTATCTTTGTCTCTACCATAACAAAGAGAATAGGTAGAAAACAAGGATGACATACTGGTCATGTGATTTGATGCTTCTGAATCAATAATCTAGGATTGTCCAAGCAAAGAAAAAAGATATGATCAGTCGAAGCTTGAGTAACTGAGTGTACCAAGGATGGAAATAGAGATTATGGATGGGGGGCCATCTAACTGTGCGAACAATCGGTGAAAACTTTCATTAGGGATTGGAATCATCTCTTTTGGAGTAGGAAACTGAAGATTACATTGCATTTTGTATTGGCTGATCTGTGCTAGCAGCAACTGCACTCTTAGTGGATGAAGGGTTATGAGTATTAAATTGACTTGGATGATTAGATTTAGTTGGCTGACCAACCAGATCCTAGCACGTTTATTTAGTATTATTATAGTTACACGTGGCATGTACCAAGGTGGCGATTCTAGTTTAGAATCGCGATTCCATGTTTCTGAGAAGGAATTATGATTCTTGGAAGTCAGGAATAATTATTCCAAAATTTTCAAATCTCGTTCCAACTTTTTTAAATCTCGATTTCTAGAAGTTAGGAATCTAGATTTTACCTCTCAAAATTTTCGACTCATAGGTGCACAAGACTTGGATTCGATGTATATGAGACCCCTGATCCCAATTTTGAGGAAGAATAAATCAATGATATTTATGGTTTACATCATTCCTAAATGTGGTCTAAGAAGGGTGAAGACCTTGAACTTGCCCTAAACCCGTTCTATGTCAGGGTAAAGGAGCTGGGAACCTACAATATCTGCTTATGCTAGGGTATTAGCCCATCCCAATTAGTTGGAAAAAGGCTTTGAAAATGATGATGATCATTCCTAAATGTCAAGACTTTGTATTAAAGTTAAACATCTTACTTTCTAATCTACATCTAATAAAAATAAAGTACTTCTATTTATTTATTCAATCTAGAAAATGTAGAAAATGAGAGCTGCATGAAAGGGTACTCAATACCCGACTCCAATGTTAGGGAAAGGATGTCAAAGACTTTTAATCATATAATAAGGGATCCTTGGGTAATCGTACGTGATATATGGAGTTCAAAATTCCCTCTTACAAATAATATAAAACATCAAATCTTTTTTCATTTATACCTTTTTTCTCAAAAACTTTTGACATGGTTTTGAGTGGATTGGTGCACAATTCTTGAAAGGTAGGAATCTCGATTCAAGTTGATGGGACAACGGTTCCAACGATATTGGAGTCATGATTTCTTTTTTTTAAATCACGATTCCAATATGGTGGGAATCACTCTACATGTGATTTGCATTGTACAGACAACTTTTCCAATCATAGGAATCATCCGGCCGTTCGCGATTATGTTATTCTGATTCCTGAAATGATTCGGAATCGCAGGCAATTCCAAAAAGGGTAGTATGACTATTTGTGACGCAATAATCACGCTTTAGCTTACTTATTATCTCCTTGATTCTGTGCCTTTTTACAAATTGTTGACTTCCACTCGCGTTATTGTTTTGAGGAGCTAATGAGGTTGGAACAAGGGTAGATCAATCAAGTACTTGAGCAGGCAGCATGACGATTTTCGATTTTCCTCAGCTTGGACAAAGGAATAGTCCTGTTTGAGAGATGGAAGAGTGTCCCTCCTGAGTATTTGGACCCTAACTAATTCAAACTCTGGGTTCAATCCCGCCAAGAACTAAAAAATTTGATTTTGTTCCACAAACTCTTTGTATTTCTTTCCATTTACCTTACATGCCGGTTTAAACATTTGATAGTGGTTCAACTCCTCCGATGAAGTAAAGAAAAATATGCTTTAAGAGACCTCTCCCCTTGTCTAAGATGGGAAATTTCCTGCCTCACTACATTTGAGCTACATTTTTGCTTTGAGAGTAAGTTTGGTGTATAGAGTCCCAAATCTCTCTCACACTTTCAAGAAACAAAAGACGGTTTACTAATTGATGGTTGCATAGAGTGTAATAACCAAGACGATATAGTCAGATTTTCAATTTCCTGCTTCTCATTTGAGAGATGTGTTTCTTCGTGCCTAGTAATCTTTCCACCAATCGACAGTTTTGTAGTCTGTGGCCACTCTAAAAAATTCGTCCCATTGAGTTTGACAATAGTAATTTGTAGTCCAAGGTTTTCTATGTGGATACCCACATGGGAGGTTACTCTTGGAATGCTAGTAGAGTTGGAAGAGTGTCCATAATTGCTTATTATCAACATATTGACCAAAATACAGCTAAAAACCACCAAGGAAACCTGCTATTCAACTCAAGCAGCCATTAAAAAACACATCAAACATGGACCTGAGATCATTCATACAAGAGATCTCGAAAAAAGTCGAGTTTGTAACTAACAATGAAAGGTTAAATCCTTTTAAGGGATCCAAAACTGAGTTTAATACCATCAAAGCACACCAACCAGATCTAGGTTTTCTTAAGCCCGAATCAAAATCTCAAAGAAGTAACCACGAAAACTAGCGCCTTTTCATTGCAAATACCTTTCCCCGATAGGGTTTTTGACCTTTTGGACACCTCGCACAACCAGATCATATCTTTAGGGTTTCAAAAGAAACCTCTTGAAGTAATCTTGCTTTAATACCAAGTTAAAAATACAGCAGCAACCAAGGAGTAGAGGAGAATGAGAGAATAAAAAGAGAGATCAAAGGCTTGATTAGAAAGAAAGAGAGGGAGGAAAGATACTTTGAAAAAAGAAAAGGAAGAGAGATGGTGATGTGAGGTCATCCATAACCCCCACGCCCCTCTCTATGTATTATATTCAAGGTTGAAAAATCAGCCTCCCGGCCTAGGTAGGTGGGTCTAGGCAGGCATGCCCAAGGCACACCACTTAGGCGGGCGCAATGCTGGCGCTCAGGCAGGTCTGGGCGCCCGCCTAGTGCCTGCCACCCCCTTAATTAAAAAAAAGAAGAAGAAGAAGCTATTTTAAAAAAATAAGAAAAGTTAAGGCCTATTTAAAGCCCCTCTCTCTCTCTCTCTCTCTCGTTGGGGCCACATGCTCTCTCTACCTATAAGAAGAAGAATAAGAAGATGGTGACCTCCAAGTGTTTGATGCGAGCCTCTGTCTGTCTCTCTCTCTCACACACACATATGCATACGAAGACATACAATGTATTATATTCAAGGTTAAAAAATTGGCCGCCTATGCAGGTGGGTCTAGGTGGGCATGCCAAAGGCACTGCCTAGGTGGGTCTGGGCGCCTGCCTAGTGCCTGCCACCCCTTTAATTTAAAAAAAAAATGAAAGGCACTTTAAAAAAAAAAAAAAAGGTTAAGACCTATTTAAAGCCCCTCTCTCATGAGCCCATGTGCTCTCTCTACATATAAGAAGAAGAAGATGGCCTCGAAGTGTTTGATGTGAGCTTCTCTTGCTTTCACTCAAACACATATACACACAAAGAAACACATGGACCCATATGCTCTCTTTACATGTAAGAAAAAGAACAAGAAGAAGATGACCTCCAAGTGTTCGATGTGCGGTCCCTATCTTTCATAGAGCTCTCTCTCTCGATCGACATATTAGAAAAAGAAAAAGAAGAATGTACTCCAATTGTTCAAGACCTCTTTCTCACAAACACGGATCCATATGCTTTCTCTCTCTTACTCTACATATAAGACGAGAAAACAAGAAGATGATCGTTAAGTATGTCATGTGAAGCCTCACATGCACGCACGCATACACACACACTCTATATATTATACACACACACACACAGAAAATATGGCCCCTGGCCGCCTAAGCACCTTTTTGAACATCAATTATATTAATTATAATAAAGTACAAAGTGCCCTTTAAGGAAAAGAAAGACAAATAAATCCTTGAAGCTTAAAACACAATTAACCATAACTAGGAGTCAATACTCATTTTCACGACAACAACAACAACCCCTATCCAGATTTAGCCTGTCAATAACATACATTTGAACATCTCATTTCTAGACATTTATGATCCCTCATGTATTGACAACCAACTCAGACATGTGAGCATTATCAGGTTGAGTTGCTAATAGGTAGATTTGTCTATACACTAACTATTGATACATTATTGAATTACCTATTGGATCATTGTTATATACAAGCAAATGGGCGATATACAAGCAAATTGACATTTATTTTAAGGGTTTATGTGATGTTCTCATCATCTGTGTGGTGTAAGCTATTATTGATGTGGGAAATAATTCTTGTTCGGCTGTGTAGTGGCAGACTTTGGCCTGTAGACATATCTCTTAGGTGAAGTAACTTAACATGTCCTTATTATTGGGAATTCACCAAATAAAAAAAACAATTTCTTACATTTTCCATCTCATATTACAAATGGACGTATGCCTCTGGCAGGTACGGCTATATGCATTCAACTAACTGGAACTGGAAGAGATTAGAGTGGTTGGAAACCCTTTTAAGTAAAAATTTCTCAAGAAATTTATCAGAATATTGACAGGGAAGGTTTTCTTGAGAAATTTTTTCTCTTACATGAAAATCCTTGTGCAAATGCTTTTCATTTTTTTGTGCTAGCAAGGGCTTCCTCATTTTTTTAGTAGAAACTATTTTGTGTTTTCTTTTTGGTGTCTTATGTATTAAGTTGTGGTTGTCTACTGCTCCATTACTTGTTGAGAAACATTATTTGAGTTTTCATTCGTCCGTACTGCTATAGATGTCATGTACATTTTTAAATTTGAATGAGACCACTTATTGCAATTGATGTTTTCCAGGTGGTTGCTGTGGCGTATGCAATTATGACAACAAGATCATTGGATTTGACATGGAAAATGAGAGCACTCAGAGTACTACCTGTGTTTATGGTTCCTGGGCTCTCCGCTGCTATTTACTCGATGATGGCTAGTTATGTAAGAATGCGTAAGTCTTCCGAACTTCTCTTTCAACTAGGAGCATGCTAGATCTTGTTTCGTTCTCATTAAGGGGTTACTTGGGCCATAATATTTTGTGGGAGTCAACTAGCTTGTTCAAAACTTTGAAGTAGTGATCACTTTCTACATTATTCTTTGAGTCATGAATAATTTGTCTCTAGAAGATATTGGTAATTTAGCGTCATTTAGACTGGAAAAATCATTATATGTCGTGCTCCTTTTGTTGATAGAATATGTAGCGACTTACCAAACTTCTTATTCAAAAATTGTCTGTGAAATTGTACGTGTGATAGACAAAGAAATTCTTCGTTTGTCTCAGTAAGTAAATAACTGAAGCGCCATCTGAAATCTGACTCATGCACTCAGGAAGCTGTTCACTAGTTTTTGGTTTGAATCGGTATTGCAAATTTGAAAAGTTGAAATTTACTCAAAATTTGAACATCATATGAATTTAAATGAGTATTGATTAATCAGTCAATACGAAGTTATACAACAAGTCCAGGTCTACTTTACTCAAAATTTGAACATCATATGAATTTAAATGAGTATTGACTGATTAATCAGTCAATACGAAGTTATACAACAAGTCCAATTTATATATGACATTTTCATGAGTAAATTTGCTAGTTTTTAATTTAAATTCATATTGACTGATTAATTTAAGTTAATATGATGTTCCATATCGTATATACTTATGGCTTTTTCTAAACTTTCATGACTTTTCCCGAATTTCCAAGATTTTTCCGACTTCTTGGGTGGCTTGGGGCAAACTCAGGCTAGTTGACCTGTGACTTGTTGGAGTAGCTCAGATTGGCCAAGGGCTGAGTTCCACCCCTAAGCCGCACTTTCAAACCGTGGTTTAAACTTTGAAGGTAATCGCACATTCTAAAAAGAATAAAATAAAAATGTGGAGCCCATTTCTGAATGAAGGGAATAGTGTACGATTTTACCTTAGGCTACACCTCTCAAGAAATGAAATCTGTTACAAGAAGTATTTATACTGGCTCTTCAATTGGGTGCCTATTATACAAATTTACTTAGGTTTTGGGTACAAATGTTAATGGCAAACTTGAAGGGAACTGCCTCTTAAATAAAAACAATCTTACAAGGTAGCATGTGGTGGACTGAATCAGTTATCATTAATCTGAAAGTCTCTCACTTAAGCATTGGTAGCTTAACTAAATTTGATGTTGATCTTCATTGATGCATTATTTCACTCTGCCTCTTGTTTGACACTACTTCAGGCTCCAGAGGGTGGTTGTTAACTACATGAGAGTCCTTATATGTAATTTGGCATCAAATTACGTTTCCCTTCATATTATTATGTGTAAGCTCTTCAGGCTTATCTAAACTACATTATTAAGTCAAACTTAAGGCTTACACATATGTTGCAAGAATAAGAAGGGATCCTATCTCTAGAGAGATTGTAGGGTACAAAGATATATAATTTTTTCCCCTTGTTCAAAAGACACCAACTGAGAATTCCAGGAGTCACAATAGTGACTCTTCACTCATTACTTACGGTTTACACCCTTTCATCTATCGTGGCTCTTCATTGATTAATTATGAGTTACACATGGGTACAACTTTTATATGGTGACTCTTCACTAATCACATTCTATAAATAGGTAGACATAAGCCATATTTTTCATTCAGTATATTATTTCTCATGATATTCTTATTGATATCGCATTATGTATGTAGCATTTTAATGAGACCTACAAAGAAGGTGTAGCGTACCAGTCAAGTAATGCCAATCATCCAAAAATTGTTCCTTTAGCCATCAACCTGTGCATGACAAATGGAACCACACGGAGACCATGCCATCACTATCCTAGAGAAATAATGTAGTTGTCAGCTGTCTAATATCTTTAAACTGGAACTGTTAATGTACTCTTATGGATTCTGAAGGGACTCGTGTGATCTAGTCGGAGTATATAATAATTTTTTTTTCCTTTTTCAATTCTTTTCTTTTCTTAACGGTCTAGATTGCTCACAAGAAGTCTGTTTACAATATAACAACTTCAAATAAAATAAAATAAAAGAATACAATAGGATCTCAAGAACTTGAAGCCATTCTAAACCATGCTTTTCATTAACAAAGAAAAGGCACAACTTATGCTTGGGAATAAAAGATATAATAAATAAATATAGAAGAAACAAAAGAGGGTGCTGGAGATCACCTCAACTGAGCTTCTTACACCCCACACCGAGTCACCACCTTCCGATGGTGCGGGATCTAATGGTCAACCTTCAATCTCAATCTGGAAGGCAAGTTTGGACAAGCCACACCAATGGAACATGAACCCCTTTGATCACAAAACTCAAACCCTAGGTAAATCCCCTTAGCGACTTAGTTTGAGAGAGATGCTTCTCTTTTCTACCACAACCATATAGTCCAAAACCTCAATGAGAGATGAGAGATCATGAGTGAAGATGAGAGACACTATGAGAGAGTACAGGGAACCACCATGCAATGAGAGAGGGAGTGGGGCGTGCCTCCCTTTAGATAGATGATAGAGAGATGAAAAGTTGTGGTAAGAGATAAAGTGTAGAGATTTTGGGTTCGGTACTTCCCCTTTTTATAGTGCTTGAACAAGATTAGGGTTTCTTAGGGTTTTCCTTGGCTTGCTACTCACTTGAGATTTAGTATGAACCATTGATCTTGGGTGACTTGTGGGGTGAGAGATTTGAGCTCTCCATTCCATAGATGAGATGAAAAGTTGTGGTAAGAGATAAGGTGTAGAGATTTTGGGTACTGTACTTCCCCTTTTTATAGTGCTTGAACAAGATTAGGGTTTCTTAAGGTTTTCCTTGGCTTGCCACTCACATGAGATTGAATATGGACCATTGATCTTGGGTGACTTGTGGGGTGAGAGATTTGAGCTCTCCGTTCCATAGATGGGCCATCAATATCCTATGGAAGGTGCTAGACCATTATCCCCCACTTCCTAAACCATTTTCCCATTAATTAATAAAAATAAGGAATTAACATATCATAATATTATCTTTTCTTATTTTTATCCATAAGCCTTCTCACACATTCCAAAATATTAATCAAATATTCCTCAAGCCTTCAAACTTTCCAAAACAACACAAACCCTTCTAGGCTCCAAACTTTCCAAAACAACACAAACCTTTCTCTCAAGCTTCAAAGCTTAAACACCAAAAAAGAAAGTTGCCATAGGTGGGGTGTGCCACCCATGGTGGCACATAATGGGCCCCACCCAACATGCAATGGTGGGCCCAAAAGACCTATTGGGCCTCCAATGCATTTCAAGTTCTTTTTATAATTTAAAAAATACACAAAATCATTATTTGAATATTTAAATCATTATAAAATCAATATCTCCATTTTTATATATCCAAATTTGATAAATAAAATATTCAGAGATTTAAAAAAATTCAAATAATAATTCTAAAAAGAAAATATAAATAAAAATAATAAAATTAAAACTTTGATGGGAAAAGGATCCATATGGTCCAGGAATAAATATCCACTGGGGCACTCCATGTCCAATCATGAACTACGAACCACACATGTTTTCTAAAACCAACCTAGCGTTGCCATGACCCACAGTCTATACAGAGGATCATTAGTGGGTCGCTTAAGTCTAGCCAATGGCATGGGGTCGCAGTCCCAGTATATGGATTTCAGGTTTCCCCGAGAGACAAAACTCCAAGGTCATCCTGACCTTGATACAACCACGGCTCAATGGTGCACAAGGGTATCTCTCACACATGCACACGCTTCACCCTAAAAGGTGGTACGCTTTCCCAAAAATGGCCATCGATGTGCATACCGTGTGATGGAACAAATGATGAGGTTTTGGCCCCGTCCTTCAGGCCTCCATCACACATAAGGGTCACATAATCTCTCGGCTCACTTATCTGGGTATACTCCAACCTCATCAACGGATGACCCATATAACCCTTATCGGTACGATTCTCAAAGCCCAGGCAACTTGGGTTTTCCCCAATCAAGCCGACTTAGCATGTCAAGCATGGTCCAGTATCAACAAACATCATTTGCTTAGTATGGTCCACAAGGGACGACACTCCCACTGAGTTCATGTTCCACTATATTTTTGCATTTTACAAACAATCATAAGGCCTTTAATGGCCACACTCACCCAACAGATGCTGTGTAAAGTGTGTCCAGAGCACATCTGGGCCTTGTGGGTTTCATAAAAAAGTAGCTTCCTTAGCTTATTTGAGTCTATAAATGGCTTTTCCAAGGTAAAAACTTTTCTGGTGGGTTAGAAATGGTAGCTTAGAGGAAGATTCATCCATATTTCATCATGTAAATCCCCCTGTGAAAAGATTTCTTTGATTCTTTCCAAAAAGCTGACTAGTCCAAAATAGGTGCAATTGGAACTAGTGTTATCAGGATGGGATTGGCCACCAAATTGGTGAGAAGTGTGGTCTAATCATAACCGGTCTGACCACTAGTCGAACTGGTTGGATGAGATTTTGAAAAAAGGAAAAAAAATGGTGATAATAGTTTAAAAATATAAAGTATATTAACAATATTTGCCCAACTTCATTTAGCTGGTCAAACTGGTTAAAATCGATTGGTTCGACTGACAGAAACTGATCAAACATTGGTTTTGATAGGTTTTCAACGAAATCCAGTGTTTACTTTAGACCAAAAATATAAAGTATATTAACAATATTTGCCCAATTTCATTTAGCTGGTCAAACTGGTTAAATCGATTGGTTCAACTGGCATAAATTGATCAAACAATGGTTTTGATAAGTTTTCAACGAAATTCAGTGTTTACTTTAGACGAAACAGACTAAGGCACTGATAAGAGGTCTAACTGGTATGACCAATGGTGTGGTCCAGTCTTTATAACTACAATTGCAACTCTTTTTTGTAATAGACAAAAACAAGACCTATCCTTCTATAAGAATTCATCTCTCTTGTGTGCAGCCTATGGCAATGAGCTTTTCCTTTTATAGATTTATCATGCTATTTGCCGTCTTCTTGGTATGAAAGATGATTTACAACAAATTGCCTTACTTTGGTGGTGCAGTTCAACAATATTCAGAAGATGGTTAATTACAAAGTGTTGCTGCCCCTTAAGACATAGACAATGGAATACACGATTAATATTGTCAAAAGTTAGTTCGATTTTGGCTACTTCTAACATGACCTATTCTCAACATAGTGGAATGGGGGAAAGTCCCGGACCTTGAGTAAGGTCATAACCTGCCATTAATTATGTTGTTTCCCATGAATGTGGTTTCTGTGCTTTTCATCTGGTGTTCTTGCACATAAGATCCCTTATTTTCAGTAAATGATAATTTAATTCCTGATCATGGAGCCCAACCCACCCCTTGGTTTCTTCTTTCCTGTTTGACACTCAACTAGTAAGCACATCTCCAATCCTATGTTTGCGAAATATGTTTTGTATGGTTTTATTTTTTGGAATATGGTGTGTTGCTTCTGTATTTTCTTGTTCTTTGAACCATATGACGCATGCCTTGGGAGTATAATCAGATTTTTACATATGGATTACCTCTTTTATAATTGTTTGTTTTAGCTATAGAAGTTCAAATGCAATGGCCATAAGTTTGTATATTTAATAGATTAACGAACAATGATGAGTTTGTACCGATGGCTCATAAAATGCATCTGGGTTCTCTGTCTTGTGCCATTGCAGGGGATAGGAAAGATAAAAAAACTCTTGAAAGGCTGCGTGCTGAAAGGCAAGCCAAAATTGACGAACTTAAAGAGAGGACAAATTATTACTTGACACAACAACTTATTCAGGTCACCATATTAGCAATTACCTTCCGCGTACCTTCTAAACCACTTTGCTTGGAGATGGAAGATTTCAAAGAAGGAAAATTATTTTTCTTTTCCATACATCTCGAGGTCAAGATGATAAATTGGAATATTTTCAAATATCGGAATGCTCTTTTCTATTAGATTTTGAGTTGCACCTTATTTTTATATTAGAAGGTTGCAGCCGTACATAAACTTTTCCAATTTTAAAACACCCATAGAAAAACACATGGTCTTGAGTTGGAATAGTTGCAAATAGGCAAAATGTCTAATACTTCATTTCTAATGGGTATATTTTGATAAATTTCCCTTTGAATAATGGCTTGCATGGTGCGTCTGTTTTTTGCTCTGTACTTAGCTGTTCATATCCTTGCTTGCTCATGTGACTTGAATCTGCATATGCCTGGTTTATATATTTTGGCAGATTCACATTATCTTTTCCTTCTTGGGAAGAGACATCATCATGAACCTTCTGCTGTCCATTTCTTGTTTTTGTTTTTCGTTTCCAACATTCTGCACATTGGTTGTCTTCAGACGTCATTATTTTTTTCATCATTTTTCCATGCATTGACCTTTTTTTCCAAAGTTTGTAGGGTTTCCCCTCCCCCCCCTGCTTTTTCTCATTGGGTTTGAAATCCCTTTTGCCCTCTTAACTCTCTAACTTAAAAAAAAAAAATTGTTCTCTCTAAATGCAGAGATATGATCTTGACCCTGCAGCAAAGGCTGCTGCTGCAAGCGTTCTAGTGTCCAAGCTCGGGGCAGACTCAGGCGTTAAAGTAGTTTTAGAAGAAGATCCAAAGCTTAATGCAACTGAAGGCAAAAGCAACAGCATTGAGGTCATGCAAGCCAATGATCTTCGAAAAAGGAAGCAATCTCACGAAAGACATAGCGAGAAAAACATTTTGATGGAGCAACAACCTGTTGAAGGTGACCCTAACATTGAGAGGGACCTACAGAGCCCACCAGTTGTTGTGGAGCACCATCCTGGATCGACCAAAAATGACGGTGGTTGGATTGCTCGTATAGCTGCCATGCTTGTCGGAGAGGACTCAACTCAGTGTTATGCCCTTATATGTGGCAACTGTCATATGCACAATGGTATGTAATGTGCTACTCTAGGAAAATACATTTTTTATTCCACACCCATGTGTGTAGGATCCCAATTAATTTGGCACAGATCTCTAGAAAAGTTATCACATGGGTGTGGGACTTGACTTTTCTAGAGATCTGTGTCAAATTTAATGGTGATCCTTTGGAGTCCTATACAAATGGGTGTGGGAGGGTCTTATAGGATCATTACTCTTTTTATTTACCCAAAAAAAACAAAAGAAGCATTTTTTCCCTTATTTTTCTTATGAGGAAAACCCTACTGTGGTCTTAGCTCTAATGAACAAGGGTATCCATTGCACAAGCGCACATTGGGCTTGTGAACATCTAACGGAAAGTGGGACCCACGATTGTGGTTATGTCCTTTTCCAGTGGCTATGTATAAGTCGGACTCTCTTCATCGCTGTCCATCATTTTTGATGGATACCCACACCCTGATATTCCCTAGTCCATAGGATCATAGTATACTTCCTTTCTTGTCATGGAATGTATACTGTAGTCTTATGGACAGTGGAAGATCATATTCCATATCATTGTCATGGCTGCTTGATTAAGCGATGGACTGTGATGCATAGAGGAAGTGGGACCCTCTAGCTCCTGTTTGTCCATTTTGTTGAGAAGACCCCATTGGACTATAGTTTCCGTAGTCTTTAGGGCTACAAAATTCCATTGTTTATTTTATAAAGCTTTTGATAACCTGGACGAGGTTTGTGGTATGGTTAATCTTACCATGGAATTTTCGAAGCTTCCTTTAATTTTTAAAGTTTTGATAACCTTGATGAGGTTAGTGGAATGGTTAAATTTACAATAGGAATTTTCACATTATGCACTTTGTGCCTTCACTTTTTAGTATGTACGGTATTCTCAGTGAGCTATTTCAGTTTCTTGAAATGAAAATGGAGAAGAGAACATGCAAAACTAAAGCACAAATATACTGTAATCCTCTTGATCATAGGAAGAAACTTGTGGTCATGAGGATCATGAAACTTCAATCAATGGAGTGGAAGATGGAGAGAGTGGGATCTGCCAGAACATGAGTCACATGACATACCTTTGTGTTGGGTCCCACTTGCATTTCTTAGACTGTCAATGCTCTTTTAATCCAATAGCCTTTGTGATATACCTAAATTGGAAGTAAGGGAAATTACTGAAACAATTCCTGAAATGCCATACTTTTTTTTCTTGAAGATTTAATTAATATATGTTAAGACAAACCTCCATTTCTCATGCTTATTGTTTTCCTTTTCTTTACGAAATTTTCCCGTTTTTGTTTCTAATGCCTTCTCTTTTTTTCAATGGCAATTAACATTCTGCTAGAGCTTCAAAGCTAAAGCTGAAACCTACATTTTTGGTGGTTTGTTCTATTTCACAGGATTAGCAAGGAAAGAGGATTTCCCATACATTACCTACTACTGTCCTTACTGCCATGCCCTTAATGGTTCCCGTCGGACTGAGGCTCATGGTTCCTTGCGGGAGTCGAATTCACCATCTGCCATTGATGGTAATATTGGCATTGAGTCTAGTGAAAAAACAAATGGCCAAGACATGGGCCATGTAAAAGAAGCTGGCCAAGTAGTGGCTTCTGATGGGGAGCAGGTAGAAACCAATAATGGAAATGGCGTGAATTGAGGAAGCGGTACTCTCTCTGTCTCATCATTTGTCTTGTTCTTTTTTTTTAACCATAGAATGATTGCTGTGTGGTTCCTCTTGCTCCATTCTCATATCAGCTATTTGCTTTCTCTCGCCGGAGTGCTCTCTCTCTCTCTCTCTCTGTAATATCATTGTTCCTTTTTTCATATAGGATTCGTTTTCTTGCGGGTATGATGTGTGCTGAGCATGATGGGTTTGCTTTTTCATAGCAAGGCCTTTTCTGTTTGTTGTATTGTTCCATCACAGCAGTAGTATGATGGAAAGCCTTTTGTTAGGTTTGGATGTACTGCTAGTTGAAAGAAAGAAAAGCTATCTATTTATCAATATAAACACAAATTTTTTTGGAAAACTTTGTATACATTTAACTTGTGTAGAAAACCTTTTCATTATTGGGAGAGTGAAGTTTCAGTTTTTCAGTATGACCAATTTGGCCCCTTAAAGAGAGGTTTATTTCGAAGTGAGCAGCCTAAGTGACCTGCAAGTAATGGGGATTCTGGTGCATAATCATCCACAATTGAAATTCCAAATTGGTTTAAGATCCGTTGGCTTTGGAGAAATTAATAGGAAATCTTATTATCGGCCTCTTAACTTACTCTGATCCTTGTAGCCTCACAGAAGGTATGACCTTTAATAGTGCAAAATGATAGTGCAAAATGATAGATCAAAATTCTTATATCCGACCATAATTAATTGAAAAAAACTATGATGATGTTCAAGTAAAGACTCCAGCAGAAAAAGAGAAAATATGAGCCTTGTGGTGTTAGTTGTACGTGTGCGTGTGCATATTCCTCTCCGGCAGAATTTACAAGTTATGTAAAATGAAAGTACAACCAACTATAAGCTTACCCATAATGTTCTTCTCATATATTAGAACGATTCTAGCAAACCAACAAGTGGGCTCTCTCTTGTGAGCCTCTTGGGAACCACCTATTCCAGGAATATGAGGCGGCTGTCTCTAAGGGCATGTTTGGCTATCAAAAGTTCTTGTTTAAGAAGCTGGAACTTCCACTGCTAAGCACTTTGAGGTGCACCAATTTACCCTATAGAAGGGCGAGCTTCTTGGAAAAAGCGTTGGCGGGTCGTGGAGTGCCTGTCAAGGGTAGTAGCGCATACCCCGGGGTGATCATCACCACCTGCATCTCACATCCCTGCACGGTGGAACAGCTGTCCCATTCAACAATGCCTATTCCTATAATCTATCGGCTAATGTAACGCAGTCCATGTCAATAAAATGGGTCACCCATTATTTCCATGAATCATTTTTTTTTGACAGATGAAGAATATGTAAATATTTATTGGAAATCTCACTAATCAGATTTCATTGTAGAAGAATCGTCTACAATTTTTTTGTGGAATGGGTGCATAGTTCTAGTGGGAAGCTCCCCCAATGACTTTTTATCAGATTCCATTGCGGAAGAATTGCCTACAATTTTTTCATGGAATGGGGGCATAGTTCTGGTGGGAAGCTCCTCCAATGACTTTCTATCAGATTTCATTGCGGAAGAATCGCCTACAATTTTTTCATGGAATGGGGGCATGGTTATGGTGGGAAGCTCCCCTAATGACTTTTTTTGTTTTTATTTTTTTAAAATCAACTCAAGGCAAAAATGTAAGGGTGAGTTGATCTCATTTGCCTACATGTATAAAAATTAAAAACAAAAATGCCAAATTTGCCTGTAGCATTTTAGGGGTACTTTTATTGACTCGTGCAACGGAAATTTACACTCTCGACGAGGATCCTGTACACAATATGAACACACCTTCTCTCTACCATGCCTCTCTCTACTACTCGCGCCTCTCTCTCTACAATACCCACAATGCCTACTGTGAACACCCTCTCTTAATGCCCACGCCAACACCTAAAGACCCTCTTGCTTAAGACCATTAAGTGATAAAAGAAAGAAGATGATTTCTTTCTTGTTTTTATTATCTTTCTTTCTAAAAAAGATTACCAGAAGAAAGAGTTAAACTAATTACTTGAGCTAAATCCTCGTGAAAAGATAATTCCTAATCTTTCCAACAAGAGAATAAATCTACTTAATTTAATGTCAATCTTGACTTAAACAAAAAAAATGAGGAGAAACTAAATCAGCCTTAAACAAAAAAAATTAGGAAACTAAACCAGCCTTTACGCTAGTTTGGATATAAAATATTTTTTTATTCCAATCCATAAATCTTGTGAAATAGATTTGAACTGTTTGGACAACTACAATATTTTACTCGACTTTAGATTGAAATAAAAAATTATGCAATCTCAAAGCAAAAGTCACCATAAAAAAAATTCAAGTCAAACTTGATTTTTTTTTTTTATGAGAGTGCAGCTCTCTCACCTCATGCAAATCCCAACTTGTGGCCCAACAACCCACACTGTGAAACCTCATAAATCCTAAATCTACTATATCTCTCCCTCATAACCCCAAATCTACTCTCTCTCTCCCTCATAAACCCCAAATCTACTCATCGTTCATTACTTCATAAACCCCAAATCTACTCTCTCTCTAAACTACGTTAACCCGAAAATGAGAGAAGAAGGACAACAATAACAGCAGTTTGGGTCTCTTGTTAAAGGGGAAGAAAGAAGATGGAAGCAATGAGATCTTTAATTCACCATTAGGATATGCTAGCTTGGGTCTCTTGTTAAAAGGGATAAGAGAAGAGATAAGCAAGGAGATCTTTAATTCACCATTACGGTTTGGCCTTTATTAATTAACCAAAATATCAATCCTAACAAATCCACTATTTCCAAGTTGTTTTTGGTGACTAAAATTGTCTGGGCTTTTTGTGTAGCTTTTGCTGCTCCGCAAACCCGGCCCCTCTAGCGTGTGTGAGAATCGGTAATGACTCTTAGAATTTTTGGTTATTTTATATGTTTAATTTATTTTTAATATGTTTTATTTATATTATAAATAAAGTATAAAATCTGGAAACGTTGGTCAGAGCAGTAAATGGCTTACTAGCCAAACAAGACAAACACATATGGCAATAAAAGAAATAAATTATAGACACCTAAACTATATCCAATCTTATCATAAATACATGATATTGTACCTATCATTCCCACTAAACTATACCCCAAACTCACCATAAATACAAGATCTTATATCTATCCTTCCCACTAAACTATACTCAGACTTACCATAAACAAATATACTGATTTTAAATACAATATCTTGAATGGAGGAAATTTTGGCATACACAATCAACATCCACAATCAATATCAAAGATATTGTGTACTAATTACAATATATACCTTCTATATTAGCTTAGTAGACAATATATATTTTTCTTTCACACTCCCTCGCAAACTCAATATCCTATGAGAGAGAGCGACTGAAGTTTGAACACTAAGTTGTCGAACAAGCGGTTGGATCTTCACCAATAAAAGCAATGGTAGTCTTGCTCAAATTACTCGATCGATAAGCAAAGAAGAAAAGCGGATGAGGAATCCAACGATCATCTTTTTATCCACTGCCATAATGCTTCTAGAATTTGGTATTGGTTGTTTGGGCTTCTTGGGGTTTACGCTTCTCTTCCCCGATAAGTATTGGGCTTAGTGTCTCAGTTAGCCTTTAATCATCTACCTTCTGTGGGTGTTTTGGCAAATAGCGAGAGGGGCTACTCTTTGATAACTCTGGAAAGAAAGAAATAGGTGGACATTTGAAGGTAAGAGTCTCTCTTTTGATAAATTGCTTAGTAATGTCAAATTGTCTATTTGGTCTTGATTCTTGATTATTAAGGAAGGTTGGGGTATTTCACAACCTGATGTTTTGTTGAATTTGCCAAATTTGTTTTGATGGGTAGAGTTAAGATGAGACCAAGGTATATTTGGGTGGTACCAAAGTGTAGAGGTTTTAAGTTAAATTTCAATGGGAGCTCTTTGGGTAATCCAGGTTTGGCTGGTGTTAGGGATTCTACTTTAAATTTCAATGAGAGCTCTCTGGGTAATCCAGGCTTGGTTGGTGTTAGGGGTGTGGTGCATGAATGTTTTAAAGAGGTTATTGTTGGCCCTATTTGTGTAATGATTGCTAACCAAGCAGAAGTATCAGCACTATTGTAAGGGATCGAATTTTTTTTTGCTAGAAATTTGGGGGGTAATTGCATCATTGAAGGGGATTCTTTGAATGTTATTAAATAGTGCAAGAAGTAGCAGCATATTCCTTAGGAGCCGAAGTCTTCTTGGTTGCGGATTATGGATCTGATGGCTCATTTTTCAATCTCATTCTGTTATGTCTATCGTAAGTCGAACTCCTTGGTCGACTCTCTGGCTAAAGGAGGGGCCTCTTTGCCTGCTCTTGCTGTTTCCTCTTATGTAATTTCGTTTGAGTAGATTTCTTTAATAAAGTACGGAATATCTGTCAAAAAAAAAAAAGAAGACTAGGGCAAGCTCAAGCTCAAGCTCCATTAATCAATATGAATATATGACATTATTTTATATAGATAAATACATATGGCAATGCTATAAATAAATCACACACACCTAAACCATATCTAGACTTACCATAAATACAAGATATTATACCTATCTTTCCCATATATATAATTACAATATATACCTTCCATATTAACCTAGTAGACAATATATACTTTTCTTTCATAGAAGATACACGCATTGGACATATCTAGAAAGCATTAAAAATATTTTTAAAAATAAATTGACAAAAATACCTTTGAATATTAGTGAAATATTTGAGTCTATTATTTTTTTCTAAATGATTTTTTATACTATTTTTAGGTGCAGGTGATAGAGAAACATAGATGCCCAAAATTTTATTATAATCCACTTTGTTAAAAACTAAAATGAAATGATTAAATATATTTTTGGCCACTTATTGTTTTCTTCTAATTTTAACTATTCAAATCGCATGGCTCGTGATGTGCATCAATATATGCCTTCTAAATAATGCTAAAATGCCCCTTTTCTCTCTTTCCAATGTCGACCCGGACATGGGTCGGGTCCATGTCAATCGGAATTGGGTCATGATAAAAGAAAAAGATTAAACCACTTCTTTCGGGCCTAAAAGTAAATTATATTTTTATTTAAAAATTATATTGATCTAAAATTTGGGTTAGCCTCATTTTCATAGAAATAAAAAATAATAAAAAATATTTTGAATAAAAATATTGATCAAAATAAAATTAAGAGTAATTTTGTTATTTTTAAAATATATTTTTAATTATTTTAATGTAATTCTATTTATAAATACAAACTTTCAAATAAATATTTTATTTAAATAAAAAATAAAAAATAAAATTAATTGTTGGCGCTAGATATGACCACGTGTATCTCAACTATTGGAAAGGTAATTGTGCACCTTTCTACCCGTGATGTGGACTCATACTCTTGTCATTATATGTACATATTATATGACACGTAAATACGTAGGGTGGACCCTGGCGTAGACCCGTGCAACCAAATTTGTCAGGGTTGGACTCGAGCCCAACCCGGGTCAGATCAATGTCAATTTTTTAATATATTTGTTAATTATTTTTATTTAGTTTTATTTATAAATATAAACTTTCAAATAAATATTTTATTTAAATAAAAAGTAAAATATGAAATCAATTATTGACCGACCACGTGAATCTCGCGGACCCTTCCACTAGTTGGATGTAGACTCTACTCTTTTCCTTATATACAAGGGAACCCTCACATACATATTATACGATGCATAAATACGTAGGGTGCCCGTCCAAGCAAATTTGTGGGGTTGGACCGAAGCCCAACTCGGGTCTAGTCCAGGTCAAAATGACCCGGACCCTAATCAGGTCGGCCCTACGCCATGACAGGCGTGCATTTCTAAAACTTCATTAAAAGACTTATTTGTCATTTTCTGTTTCTGGCTTTTTCGCATTCGCGCGTTCGGACACTTTGAGTAAGCAATTTTACCCTGTAAAAGAAAAAAAACAAAAAAAAACAGAATTTACAGCTTCATTACCTAGTTTAGACATTACTGGACATCGGGGCATCGGAAAAAAAAGCGGCTTTTTTAAGTTTTTAACAGTTGGCGTACGAGTCTCTGAGCCGCCATTAAAGCTTTCCTTTTAGAGCTTGTCTTCTTTCCTCTGTAGTTTCCTCTTTATTTGATCTACTAATTAGGGTTTGTGGTTTAACCAACTTAAGTTCTTCTGTAAAACGGTTGCAGGCGTTTCTCTAGAGAGGTTAGAGGGCTAAAAGCTGTTTTGGATGGTTGAGGATCCTGACTAGAGGTATACAGGATTGTTATGGGAAGTCTAAATGTATTTTGATGGAGGAAATTTTGGCAGTGTGATGATGATTGTGTATGGGAATTTTAATGGCAGCCAAAGATGGCGTTTGTTGATTTTGCCTTGGTTAAGCCGTGGTGAACTGTTTGATATGGTTTAGGAGTAGCGGTGGTCTGCAATTTTGTGGAAAACCCTAGAAATGGGGTGTTATTTGGAAATTTGTTGAAGGAAGGGAGATTTTTGGTGTGGAGTTTAATATGTGCTTTAATTTTGCATTTTCCCGGGTTTGTTTTGATAGAATGCAATTACATTTTCTGTAATCCCATAACTAATATTTAATAACTGTGATTTCCCGCACCTTGTAAATAAAAAAAACACGAGTAAATGATTTTATGAAAATATATGTTAAAGCAATGGAAGCGCGTGGTTTCTTTTATTTGTTTCAATTTGTCATGCTGAAGCTTCGTTTTTGTGCGTGCATGAATTTTATCTACCAAATGCATTTTCCTTGTTTATTTTGAGTCTATTTTGTGCATTTCTTTGGCTCATGACAGTGAATAAACTTCATACTGGTGATTTTCTGCAACTTTTCTAAGATAGGTCTTGTGCGTGGGAAAGTTTTGTAATTGAACATAGTTCTCTTGTTTCTTAGGCTTATTCTATTGTGTTCTTGTGTATAACATGCATTAAGTGACTTCTTGAGGGAAAATGTTGTAATGGAGTGGGAGCATTATTAATAATTCATGAACATAACTTCGTTGAGTGCCTTTTTCTTGAAACAATCCTAAACGCATTAACTAAATATAGTAAAACTTGATTTTATTTTTAATTTCTTTTGGTTTATTTTGGATGCAGGATCTTTGCAGTATTTATTGGAAAATTTCAGGAATTGGGTTTCTAATATGGAGCTGTGGTAATGGAGGTATGGAAAAAAAGGAGCAGATTTATCTAGGTTGATATTCTTTTCCGGCCAGTTATAAACTTCTCTCTCCAAGCTTCAAGGAGAATATTTGGGAATGCATCTTTCTCTTAAGAATTTTGAGCTTCATGGGAGAATATTTGGAAATGCCTCACTCTTAAGAATTTTGAGATGGATGGAAAATGGAAATCACCCAGTTCAAACTTAGTTCGATATGGGTTCCCTTTTCTTTTGCTTTTCTTTCTAAATCTTGCTCATGGGAAATGCTTCTTCTATCTGCCATGCATGAGTAAATTAAAGTTTCTCAAATTGTGCTAATTTATGGAAATAATTTCCTTTTGGCAATTACCATTGCCTCTCTCTTACTGGGCATTTACTGTTCATATAACTTATCTCAGTCATTGACCTTTTACCTGACTATCTGGTGGTCAAAAGGCCGGTAGAAATGGTCCTTTACTTATCCCACCAAAGAATATACTTTCTTTGTCACCAGCCGTCTTTTCTTATTTTATTTTCTCAGTACTCGATTGTTACACTCGTTGCACATGTGCTTCTAAAAAAAAGGACCTATATACTAGCTGTATTTATCCATTTATTAGTTTAATACTCACCTCTTATCACATATCTCAAACGGGGTAGTTTTTCTGTTCTGTTCAAACAGTTTCTTGGAATTTTGCTGGAACGCGTCTCTTGTTTTCAGGATGAGGCTTGATGATTAGCTTGTCATATGGTATCGTATTCGTACCATGCAAGAGATTTAGAACCAGAAAGTCAATAGTTATCCAGGATTGGGGTTCAATGAAGATGTCGAGTCCGAAAGAGCCTGAACATGTGATGAACTACCGAGGCGGTTTGGTGTTGGGTAAGAAGACAATATTGAAGAGTGACCACTTTCCTGGGTGCCAAAACAAACGGTTGCAACCCCATATCGAAGGTGCACCCAATTATAGACAGGTGAGGATAATTTGGTTTTTGATGAGTTGAATTTTTCCTAATGACCCTATGGCTACTGTATCGGTATTCATAACGCATTGCTTTCTTTTTTGTGCTGCATTCCTCATCCTTTCTTTTACTTTTCCTGTTAGTTAACCTTCCAATAAAAGGTGGGTTTTCTTGGTTATAGTTAACCTATGATTGGGAAGTGATTGGTTTTTCTCATGACTGGTCCAGCTCTGTTGGATTTGTTTCTTGTTATTTTAACTGCAAGTATGCCACTAGAATGACCTGGTGCAGTTTTCTTGGGGTGAACTTTGCTTTGTAATGTTTGGCCCTTGCTGTGGTAGTTCACGATGATATTGCTCAACTATGGAGAAATGGAAATGAAGAGCTAAAGGAAATTGAAGTGGGTGCGAGGTCATTGATCAAGAATTTAAACTGCATAGGGTTTCATTGGAAAGAGAGATCATCTTTTTAAGGGTTGCAAATGTAATATAATTTCTTTTTGATGTAGTGATTTCTTTTCTTTTTATGTGTCTGAATGTTGAACTGCTCAATGTCCTCAGAAAATAATTGTTTTTGGGGCTTCGGTGTAGTGATTGACAGCATTCCACTGAGCATTACTTTTCTGATATATACTGGGATTTTTTTGAAGAATCTTAAACTTCTACCTCTTTGGATAAAGCGATGGTTCCACTCAGCAACTTAAAAATCGCCACGCAGTCCTGGACTTGCCTGAGGTGGCCAGAGCAGGACCCTGCTTCTTCCAGAGGGAGAAGCCCAAAAATCAGGCGTGTCCCCTGGGACTAGGGTCCCCTTTGTTATTTTCAGGGAGAATTGGTCAAGTCATACTTCCAACTCGGCCAATTCTATGGCTGACTCAAGCTCAAGACCTTGGCGAGTTGGAGCTGGAGTTGTTGCTTTAAAACACTGGTTCCACTTTCAATTAATTTAACTGTTGTTTGTTATCCCCACAGTAGTCTGATGCCAGCTTTTGGCACACATTTTCCCCAGCCTGATGAGTAAAAATAATTGACCTTACGATTAACATGAATCTATTTCATTTTCTCTTTGTTTGGTGGAACTTGGCATTATTTGTCGCATCGTCATTTTCCGGAGTATAAGAATTCACATGTGTATGGTTGAAGGATGTCATAACAACTGACTGGCTAAGGTGTTATGTGAATTTTCTGAGGCCTTGAAACTTTCTTTTCTTTTATTTATTTATTTATTTTTTCTTTTTTAAGGTGTTAACAGTGGGAATGGAGGTGGGGCATTATATTGAGGCATGCACCCCCGTAACCACTGATGCCCCAACCACAACCCCATTCTCTTTTCTGTTGAATGTTCATGATACAAAAGTTAGGATTTCAACTTAGACATGTAGTCGTCTTGGACTCATAAATAACCTAGATCTTCCAAAATTAGGTACCTTCCTATATTGGGTTTTAGGTGTTTAATAAGAACGCGTTCACTGTCGGACATTTTGGGATGTGTTTTTATTTAGACAGTTTGCTCTCTGGGATTTCTATAGGGCAAGAGGAGAGGCTTATAGGTAATCCATTATAATGTTAATTGATGTTAATTGTCTATTTTGATTGTGGAATGTTTTAGAAGTTGAGTTGACTGGATTCATTTCGAAAAGTTTCTAAATATAGTTTCTGGTCGAACAAGTGGATGTATAGACCAGAGGGTTTCTAAACTTTCTGACTGCCCTCTGGATTTGGTTGAGCCAACCAAACTTGCCCATCCAAAGAGTGGACTTGGCTAGTAGCAGTTTAGTCGCAATTATCAGTGGGAATATGTTTATAACATAATTTTTTCTTTTTAGGTAAATGCCTGTGAAATACTGTTATTTCAACCAGTTGATATTATCACATTATTTATGGTTCATAGCAAGTAATATCAGAATAACAATCACAATAAATGTAGGGAAATATACTTAGAAAATCCTTATTGTTCGTGCGTTGTCATATGACATGCCCTGTATCATACCTAAACAAAAGGAAAATATTGGGTAAGTTAGCTAATAAGAGGAACACATACTAGGTTGATAAGTTGGTGGAATGTGGAAACATTTTGCAAAAAGTATGGTCTTTTTTAATTTTAACATTTCCAGCATTCATCTTTGGAATCTTGATTGTTACGTGTTCAAAATAAAAAAGAAATCTATATTGATGTACATGGATAACTTACATATTATCTTACGTAAAAAATAAACGGAGACAATGGATATTCATGTGACTTAGAAGGTTGAATAATTAATATATTGATTACTTAAAATTTTAAATAAATATTTATTTCTTACTTTCCTTGATAAATATCGTTTATCATAGTTGAATTTATTACGCAACCATTTCTTATATGCTGATTTTTTTTTTCTTTTGATGCTTGAATTTAATTTTATTTTCTTGATGGGAGCACTCCAAAGGTAATTCATGTTCTTCCCAACCCAGGGGGAGGGGGGAGGAGGGGTTGTGTGGCAGATTGATGACGTTGTGAGAGGAATGCAAATGATAGGATAGGACCCTTTTTTTTTGTCCTAGCTGTTGGGTGTGGAGGAAAATGTGTGCCTGGTAGTTTTAAACATTTGCTTTTGTGTAGAGGCGCAGTAATTGTTGAAGGAGATAACCTTAATGCCATAAAGTGTCCTGTGACGGATCCCCCATTATGACGGTGGAAATTATATGTATAGAAGACATCATAATGTTTCCCGTTGTGACCTTTAGTCTTCTTAAAAGGGAGGCAAATGTTGATGTGGATATCTTGGCTATGACGATGTCGTATGAGATGCATGTTTTGGTCATTCTGATTTTGGAAATGCTAGCTTGGCATCCCTTTATACCTATTTATTGTGCCTACTTGTGAGTTAGAAAGATTGTTCAAAGATCATTAATTGAATGTGATGCCAATCCGAAAAAGGATCCTCTAAGTTCCTTCCAATAATACCTCGATAACAGTATTTGTGCCGTAGCCTGGCACAATGTAACCCGAGCGAGTTATGAAGAACATCTGTTTAATTTGGATGGGTTGATCAAGATTCACCTGAGTTACGTTTTTGTGGATAGGTTATTCATGGGACGAGTAATACCATTCAGCCTTTACGCTGCACATATGTTAGCCTTCTTGGTTGATTTTGGCCATTTAGGCTGTGTTTGGGAGCGTCACATTTTAAAATCACTAACACGATTGTTGTGGCCTCCATTAATCCATGGATAAGGATGGAGAGAGGAAGGGGCCCCCTCTCCAAATAGTATGTAAACATTAGTTGGTGACATGTTAGCCCAACAGGAAATGGGCATGACAACGTTGTCCCTAGGACTACGAATGTATTGTTACGCATATTCAGTGGGACTGCATTAATTGCACCTCCAAATGATGCCTAAAAGATGCCCAAAAAACCAAGTCCTCTTCATACAAATGATGGGACTAAACCTTTACCTACCTTAAGAAAAACGTAAGATTGTTTTGTCCATGACTAGATATTGGAGAGAAATTGCTGTTACATGGATCCCACGATCTTGATACCATGAGAGAGAAAGTTTATTTCTTCATCGCATTAAGGACTGTATAATTGAAGTGTGATTAACAATATCAAATAACTTTATACCCCTAGGACACTAAAAGGGTCATGCCAATAATGAAAGTTTGTCTATCTTAGCTATAACCTGTGACATGAGATACACCAAGAGGTCTCAGACTACCTTCAAGGTGGACAAATTCTACCAATCCAATCGCATAACTTAGTGCCATTATTGTTCCTACTATTGTTGAAGCTTTTTGTTTTGCTGCTATTTTTAGGCACATGCAATTTATAAATAGTTGGATACAAAATTGGAATTGCACTCTTATGTGTTCAGATCTGTTAAGTCTTGATTGCATGCTGCCCAACAACATGGATTGCTGCTGTAAGGGAGAAATTTTGGGTGACAGCGCATTGAAGGTTGGAGTCAGTACCTTCTGGTGCCATATCATAACCCAAGTAGGTGTGCGGACACTTACAAAATGCTGCCATTTCGTGAGTGGAATGAAAAGTTGAAAATTCCAGTATTCATTCTTCTCATAAATTGAAGGGTTTTGTTGGTGTGCATACGACATTTTGACTGAAATATGTATTGATATTCATGCTCGGGGTTATATTGAGAGGTGAAACTCTGTTGCATTTGTCCCTTTCAAAGTCAATTTCATTGCACTCTTTCTCAAACAACTATGCACAAACTAAGATAAAGTATGTCATTGTACTTCCTTTTTTATATAACATTCCATATACAGATTGACTTTATTCATGCACGAGTATTTGTGCTTTTACATTGTCATTTGTCTTTTGAACTTTAAACCCATGAATTTTTATTTATTTATAGTTTGTTTTGTTGTGACCGGTATTAGGCGGGTTCATTACCTGTTCATGGTGTAGCCATTCCAACCATTGATGGAATTCGAAATGTACTCGATCATATTGGAGCACAGAAGGATGGGAAGAAAACAAGAGTGCTGTGGCATAACCTTCGTGAGGAACCAGTAAGCCTTCAGTTTTCTTTCTATCGTGTTTGAAATTTTTGTGAGGCATTGCAGACGGAGTATTTCTTAATTAGATTGATATGTTATTGTTTTCATGGCTGTCCTGTATACTAATTTTGTATATTTACATTTCAGCCTATTTAGATCTTATGAGTTCCCTTTCTAAAGTTATTTTCTAATAAACAGGTGGTGTACATTAATGGGCGCCCTTTTGTTTTGCGCGACATAGAAAGACCATTCTCCAATCTTGAGTACACGGTTTGTTATATTGAGCACTTCATAGAAACTGGTAGTCCAATAGGATTTTTTTTAATCTCTTAAAGGAACTATATGTTCTTGCTATGTTGTTATATAATGCATGATTACTGTTCTATTTAATGTGCATGCTATGATGTACTTGATTATCATATTTCCGTAATATAGTTGAAAAGTTTAATTTATGCTAGCTTATTCTTTTTGGTCTTTTTACCCTAAAATTTATGGATTTCCATGGTGTTGTGAGCGCTTGTGACATTTATGTTGGTGCCTGTTCAAGCTTTTGCTTCCACGCAGTGATTACAAACTCATTTTCAACTTGGACAAACTCGTTGCTTCAACTTGACTTGGCCTGTTGCAGAGTTTTGTAACTGACAAATTCCTTGATCCCCAACTTTTCTGTTTATGCATATATTATTGTGTTTTGTCATTTAAATTAGTGGTGTGATAGGAGTGTGGTATGGCTTGGCAACAAGCTAGGTTCGAATCCACCCATGGACACGTGTTTTTTTTTTTTTTTTTTCTGTAACACTTTGCAAAATTCGAAAACCCACCTGGGTTTTTGCAAAGCTTTTGAACTCTGACTCAATTTCGGAAGTGTAGAAAGTCGGGTGAGGTTTTTGTGCTTTTGGGAGGTATGGTTGGTAGAAGAAATGGTTTGCTACATCATTAGCACAGGGGTTTAATATAGAAATATTTGACTTCTTATCTTTCCCTCTGTCCTTTTCTTTTTGTTTGGTTTGAAAGAGCAGGCTCTCTTGATTGTGGATTTGTTAGCGCACCTGACCAAAGGTGGTGGTGTCAATAGGGCATGATTTTTTGTTGTGGGCAGAACTTGAGCAAATATGGGACTCTCTTGTGTGATTCAAGATAATATGGGAATTCTGTCAAAGGAGTCCATCTTAATAGTTGTGGAACCACTCTATTATCAACAAATTCATGGTTGGAGATGTTCAAAGATCTAGAAAATGCTTTTGATGGAATTTGAAGTAAGATTGGGGCTTTAGTATAAGATCTTTATGAGAAGAGGGTTGTCTTGCTGGGCTTCTAGATTCTCCTTCTATTGATAGGCATGAAAATCAGTGTGCCACACGCACAGAAAATTTAACATACAATGGACACATGTTACTTGTCCACGTGTATGTATATGCATTTGTGTATGTTCCTATATGTATGTGCAAATACTTAAAACATATGTCTGTTTTCCAAGGTTGAACTAATCTGGTTGAATGAAGCATGCTTGAGGAAGGTTTGGCTAACCTTCCTGTGGGTCCTCTTGGTCTACCGGGGAATGTTAATTGGTTAATATATTGTATGATAATATGGTACATGTATTGTTGTTATCCACTATGTATTGTATGAGGACATGTGTGTGATTGTGTAAAAGGAATATTGGTCTTGATATAGTTCTAAGGCTGTCTAGTCTCGGCATATAATTAATTTCTAACTTTAAGGTCTCTGTTATTTATCAAGGAGTGTACCTTCCCATCTGGTTTAGTTTGGCAGTGCAGAGTCAGAGTTCGGAACTTGGTTCACTGCCATTAGTGAGATGGTTTGGCTTTGATAAATTCCAGTATGACCTGAGTTTCAGATCTTATTTTGAGCGGCTTTTCATGGAGTCTGATGGAGATGACAGAAGCTGGTTGTATTGCTTGTAATCATGGAACTGTTTGTAATCCTGTGTTCCACAACAGGGTGAAGCATATTGAGATGAGGTCATTTTATTAGGGTAATCTTACTTGACAGCATGAAGCATATTGAGACACACTGTCATTCTATTAGGCTAATGTTAATTAAAGGCATTAGGCTAGTGAAATTTTAATCTTCCAGTCTTCTTTATTTCTCATAATACATTGAAGATGCTAAAGAGGAAAATATATGCAAGGGACTAGCATATGAAAGTAGTGATTATGTAGGATTCCTTGAGTGTAAATTAAAAATTTTTCGCGTTTTATTTTTTTAACAACTGAGTTATTATACTTATAATACCGAATTATACAGTGGAAGCAGAAAATAAAACCCAAATACACCCTATGTATCTTACCTCTTACTAACTTAAAGAAAAAAGGAACTTTATTCATTACTAAACTTAATTAAAAGTGGAATTCTAAGTCAATTAAGAATCTTAATTCAAATAGGAATCCAAATACAAATAAACTAAGAATTAAAACTGAAAATAAATAAGAAAAGTTGGGAAGACTCAATCTGAACTTTGCTGAGGATCACCCCCATAGTACTTAGCACAATCGACACCCGGTTACCAGATCGATGGCGCACTGATCATTGGAATGGTACTAAATCACTATACGGGCAATACTTAGCATTGTAGGGACAGTACTGCAACATCGATTTTTGTGCCTCAGATTAACAACCATGCCTCCATGCAGAGGAAGAGGAGGGAAAGCAGCAACCGTAGAAGCCTTTACTGCTACTTCACGAGAAGGGATTTGAGATCTGAGGTGATTGGTAAAAACCCTAGCTCTGTGCTTGGGCATAAATGGAAGCCTTGTCTTTGGAGGATGATATCGAGGCAGATGAGGAATCCATAAATCGCTTCATGATCATGCTCTAAGGAGATAGGTAGCTGAGCGTATGGATAGGGTAGTAGGAGGTGAGAAACCGGTATCGAGGATGAGGTCCCAAAGTGTCATGGACGTCTATTTGAGGACAAGCATGGAGGTACTTTGTTATTATCAAATGGTTTTCAAGATCAGCACATTAGGGATTGGGACTTACCACCAGCCTTTGACAAGTACCTAGATCAAGATTTGGGTATTAAGAAAGAAGTCGGTGATCATAGCTTTGATGGTGATCCAATCCGTAAAGAGGATTAAGAAAAAGATCCTACCATTGGAGAGGATTTTGTGGATGTTCCTATTCTTGATGAAGAGCATGGTGGATGTCAAGGAGTTGTTACCAAAATATTGGAGGCAGTGAAGAAAAATTCGGCCGCTTGGTCAACAAACCACCTAGGCTTTGGGCGGGCACGCCTAAGGTAGGCGCCTAGGCGGTTTGGGCGCCCACCTAGTGCCATCCCTTAAAGGAAAAAAGAAAAAAAGAAATTTTTTTTTTCAAATTCACCCAAACAAAAATAAGGTCTGGTCTTGCCCTTCTCTCTCTCTCTCTCAGGTCCATGTGCTCTCTCTACATTTGAGAAAAGAAGTAGAAGGTGGACTCCAAGTGTTTGATGCATGGTCTCTCTCTCTCTCTCTCACACACACACACACACACACACACACACACACATACACACACAAAGATACACATGGACCCAGACCTCACGCACACACATACGTATGCATGCACACACACCAAATACATACATGCACACACTCACAAAACACACACAAAACAACATATGGACCCCACCCTAAACCCTTCCCTTAGGGTCGCCTTTGTGTTTCGGCACCTGCCTACGTGGCCCAGTCCCTTGGCCGCCTAGGCAGCCGCCTCCACCTTTTTGAACATTGATTGGAGGTAACCGGTTTCTTAGTCTTCAGAGAAAGTAGCGAGGAGAATGGTTTCGATGGAGGTGTTGATGATGTTCTTCTTCTTCGAGTTTTATCTGAATTAAGGGTATCATGTAAGGTTCACACCAAAGAGTTCATGGTATTTTCTCCTAAACTCTCAGCCGGTGAGTCTAATATAGGTGATGCCGTGACGCTCACCAAAGGGTTGCTGAAATCATTCTCTGTGAGAGAACTCAAGCTGAGTTGGTTCTTTGCTTTGATGAAAGAACCAAATCTATTCCATACCATCTTCCCTCGAAACGTAAACCTAATGAACCTAATATTTACATCTGACCTCAAAAGATTTAGCAAGAGCAAGCCTCAGAGTTCAAAGTTCTTTTTGCATTCTAAGACAACAGTTTTCCGAAGGTATGGTTTTGATTAATAATGTTGCACACTTGCATCGCAGCAATGTTAGTTTTCAATTTGCACAAAAGATAGTGGATAAGATGTATATAAAAATGCGCCATAACCTGGAAACAAAACATGGTGGATAAGACGTATATAAAATGCCCCATAACCTGGAAACAATGATCTCTAGTTATTTTGAATTGTATATCTTTAAGGTTGAGTTGCAATGTTGCAATGTTTCCCAGAGATGAACAATTATGGGTTTTGGTCTTCTCAATATACTCTTGCTGGTATTGTTACATCAAAATATCGTAGTGGATGATTGGAGAATATGGAAGCTGATGCGAAAGGAGCCCGGGAAGTTAAATCTGGTCTTCTTTCAATCTTAAACAAGAAAAAACTTGACAATAATGGAGGAAATAAGTGGCTGTAAATAGAGTCAAGGATGAGAAGAACTTATTTTTTCTTTTATGAAAATAAACTCTCTATAAAAAAATTAACAAAAAAATTACCAAGTCCCCTTACAAAAGCCTATCACTTCAATATATGCCCCATAAACAGTCTCTCTATCTTTGGCTCTTGTGCCCCATGAACCCATAAGTCATACAAATCCCTTAAGTCAATAAATCCGACTAACCCCCATCCCAAGAATGCTTTCCCCTCTTAAGTCAACAAATCCCACTAATTTCCATCCCAAGAATGCTCTCTCATAAGTCAACAATTCCCACTAACTGTCATCTCAAGAATGCTTTCCCTTCTAAGTCAACCAATCCCATAACTCCCATCCCAAGACTGATTTAAATCTATCCCAAGTCACACAAATCCCTCTCTCTCCAAGTCAACAAATTCTATAACTACCATCCCAAGAATGATTCAAATCTATCCCAAATAACAAAATCCCTTTCTCTAAGCCAACAAATCCCATACCCCGATCCCAATAATGATGTAGATCTTCTTTCCCTTCATGTTAACTATGTTTACCCCCTTCCCTTATCTACATCATCCCCACCTATGAAAATATAGAAATGGCTATCCTACCCCCTATGCATTAAATAAAGTCCCCTTTAGTCCCCTCATGCCGTTAGTACAAAAATTAGCCAACAAAAATAAAAAATTATAATCATTCCCGTAATAGAAAAAAAA